GGATATAGCTTGGGGATATAAACCTTAAAAGCATCCCGGTGATTTTCAGACATACTAATTTTTTGATTAAATACCTGAGATCCACAAGTCAGGCTTTACAATATTCAGAGCTGCCCTGGCTAGAAACATGCCTCACTTTCACTGAGTCGCCAACAAGCAGATCCTTAGTAAATGCCACTTATGCTAGACACTGCTCTTGTAACAGTCTTTGGGACCTATAAAGCGTTCACTTTACACTGGTGCAGTTTCCATCCTTCTCCATCTAGCCTCCTCTGAGTGGCAGAGAAAGACTAGAAGGCATGTCTGCTTGCAGAGTTGCTGTAAAAGTGGCACATGCAGGCAGGCAGGGGGCATTCCTGCTTCTTGTCTCTGCCTAAAAAGATGAGCTGATCAAAAGAGATCCACACATTGTGTTTCTTCTCAGATTTGCCAAATTGGTACGTAAAAATAGTATCCTTATTGTTCTAACATACTTTGATTACTAGTGTGACCAAATGCTCCATCTAAAAATGATCAAGGTAGAAAGAGCAGATGCCAGACTTCATAGGTGGCCAACAGAAATGTAATTGATATCATCTCCTTCCTTTTTGATACCTAACTTTTTCTCAGCAATCTGTGTTTTGTTTGTTTGTTTGTTTTAAAAAATGAGCATACTCATTCCATACACCAGTATAACAGAACGTATTGATAGCAAGGCCTAGGCGAACAGAAGATGTACAAAAAGGCACTGTGATACATGTGAGCAGGCTTAAGCTTTCTTGGCAGCAGATTTTGCACAAATATAAAAAAATGTACACATTAGCTCTGTTCTAGTTACCTTAGATGACAGCTCTGCATCTCAGTTTTCACACCTATAAAAGTAGGGCATTGCACTAAATTGCAGGTGAATAATGCAGGAAAGAACTTCTGAGAGCCTCCAGCTGACCTTCCTCTTGTGCAGATGTGCACACTGAGGCCTGACTCCAGGAGGATCTGCTGCCACGAGCCTCTGTGGAATGTCCCAGTAGATCGTTGCCCCTCTAGCTTCAGCTCTGGCATTCTAGGGTTCCCAGATGAACCGTTCCTTACACACAGGGCCAGATGTGGTCACATACCTATTCAGGAAGGATAATACCTCATTTAGCCAATCTTAAAGAAAATTCTTCTTGTAAAGCAGAAGTTCGACTCTTTCTAAGATGATCGATAGGATCATGGCATGAGAGATTTCTTAGTCATGAATAAACTTGGGGATGGAGCCCTCCCAGCACTGACTTAAATGGAAGAGCAGGTAATAGTTCACTTGGGTTCATTTTTCAGTTTTTAAAATGCCATTCTTTTCTAGCAGAATCAATTTTTGAGCTATTAACTCAGCTCTCACCAGACATTTTTCTTGTGGTTTGGGTTATTCTGGTCATTACTTAGTTCTCCCCAAAGAAAAGCATCAGGAGATCATGGGAATGTGCCCCAGCCCCTGCTGTTGGCACCATGGAGGTTGGGGAAGGATGGGCACAATGGGGAGGAGGTGGTACATGTCGCCACACCACATCTCACTGTGTGAACTTGAGAAAAAGCTTAAATACCCTGGCATAGCCTCCTTACAGTGCTGATGGGAGTGTAAATTGGCACCACATTGTAGGATGGCAATCTGGCAATAGTTAGCAGAATTTAAAACACCCACGCTCTGGACCTGCAAATCTACTTCTAAGAATTTAACCTATATATTTACTTGTGTGTTCAAAGTGACATATGTACAGGATGGTCATTGAAGCATCACTTATCAAAACATTTGGAAACAACACTAATAAACAGGATTGGTCAAATAACTTATAGTACATCCATGCAAGGGAGTGGTCTGCACCTATTAATAAGAGTGGGGCAACTCTATAAGAGTGATTTGGAAGAGTCTCCAAGATGGGCTGTTAAAGGAACAAACTAGATGCAGAACCTTAAGTATATGAGTATGTTATTTGTGTAAAAAACAGACTATGTATAAAACATGCTTATGTATTCATAGGACCTCTTGGGAAGAATATATTGTAGGAGAAGCAAAGCTTTTCCTCTACCCTCTTATTAGAGTGTCCAGCTAGGCCTGAGAATTGAATTGGTAGAAGACAGATTAACAGGAGAAAAGCATACAAATTTTATTTTTACATGTACATGGGAGCTTTCACAGGAAAATGAAGACCTCAAAAGTGACTAGGCTTGACTGACTAGTAATTGTGAAAAAAAATCTAAAATATATAGGTAGCCTAAAGGAAGGTAAAGGTTAGTTTAACAAGTTTTGTTTGCACAGGTTTCTCTCTTGGCCTTGACTCCCCATCTCTGGTGATGAAAATGTTCTTTTCCTCCTGGCATAGGGAAGGCATCTTTCATATGGGAATTTTATCTCCTGCATTCAGGAAGAAAAGAGGGGGGCCAGAGTGCCCTTTTTGTACCTGCTATTTTTCGAGTGTTTTTAACTCAAAATAATTCTTATGCTAAGGTGGCATATTTTGGGTGGCATATGTGGTACCCTTAAGTACAATAACATAGTAATGGTGGTTACCTCTTGGCAAGCCATTTGGGAAGCTAGATGACTCCACTCAATTGCCTAAGTCCCAAAGATACACACACACACACACACACACACACACACACACACACACACACGTATTTTTTTTTCTTTTTCCAGTTTGTCTTTTCCCACAGTTTGTCTAGTAGCAGTTACTGTCAATTCTACCTCTTCTTGTTTAGATTCAACCACTTCTCCCCTTTCTCCCACTTCCCTCTGCCACCCCACCCAAAGCCATCAGACCCTCCACAGTACCACTGAAATGGCCACCTTCTTCCACTCTTGTCTCTTTCCAATCTATTCTCTGCCCAGTAGCCAGTGTCATTTTCTAGAAATGGCCCCTTCATGGCTTTCTATTGCAACCAGAATAAAACCTAGTGGCCTTACCAAGGCATCTAAGGCCCCCTGTGATCTCAGCATTTCTACTTTCCAATGTCATGTCAGCCACACTGACCTCTTTTCTGCTTTCCTTTTTTTCTGCCCTCCCTGCCTCTGGGCTCTGAATGGAATATTCCCTTTCCTGAAATATTTTCTCCCAGCTTTCCCATGGCTGCCCAATTTCCATCCTTCAAGTCTCAGTGTTTTTCTAAAATAGCGAACCCCTCCCCCCACACACCATTTCTCTCTGCCTTATCATCACCCTGTTATTTTTTTTTCTCACAGCACATACCACGATTTGTAATTGTTTATTGGTTGACAAGTATGTCAACTATCTTCCTTCCCCCACTGGTCTTTAAGTTCCATGAGAGTAGGGTTCTTGTTTAGCTTGTCCCTCCCTCTATCCCCAAAATGTGAATGAGAGCCTGGCATGTAGTGGGTGCTGAGTCTGTAGCAGTGAATTGATGAACTTCTGGATGAGGGAATGAAGTTGGAAATGAATCCATGTTGAAGGTGGCTCTGAAGGTGGCTTGAGGGCCAGCTCCAGGAGAGGCTGGAGAGTGAGCTGCCCGCAGCAGATGTGGCTTACAGGAACCAAGAGCCTTGGCTTGTCCTTACCTAGGAAAACAGTCCAGTGATAACTTGTCCTGGATTGTAGTGGTTAATGCTTGTCTTCGAACAATCCCTTGGTGAATCTTGGCCCTCACTTTGACTAATCTCATTTGATTCAGGAGTTGGACAACTGGTCCTCAGGGCCTGCTTGCCAGGGTTTATTGCTGTAGCCTCATCTTTGCTTCCAAAGTGAGAAGGATGCAAAGCGTCAGTCCCAGGCTCTGCTGCTTATTAGGTGGCTGATCTTTGATGAGATCCTTACCTTTGGGACCTCTATTTGTTTCATCTTTGAATTAGAGTTGTAAACCCCCCCTTGCCCAATTGTAAGGATTTCATTGCTTAATATGTGTAAAATATTTACAGTGGTCATATGGTAGGCAGTCAAAAGAATATCAGTTCTTCTTTCGTATAGCTGGAATTAGCACAGAATTACTCTGAGGAAATGTCAGCCTTGGCCTTATTCTTGGTCCTCATGGGCTGTCATCATCTAGAATTTATTATTTATCCCCTCACTCATTCCTTCAGAAATTTATTCCATGTAAGGACCCACTTAGTCCTTACTTCATGCAGGACTCTGGGTCACACCAAGATATTGTCCCATGTCAGGATCTCTGGAAAGCCAACTATGATCCAGAGATGGGCACGCAGGAAGCATACTGGGAGTGGGGGTTCCAGGACTGGGCAAAGGAGGAAGTGGGACTCTGACAAAGTTTCAGCAGAGGCCTCAGTTGATTCTGTGGGAGCTCGGAGTCTGGGATGCTTCTTCAGAGCTGGCCTGCATTGAGACAAAGGATGTGGCCCTTCCTACTCTGCATTTACCAGTTGTTGGGTACAGGAAAGGAGATGTGACCTTTGGCTCTGTGTTCTCCTTAACTGAGGCAGTTCTGGAAAGCTGCCAACATTTCCAGCTGCTGAGAGAATGGGCACCTAAATCCGAAAGGAGGGATCTGGGTGGAGGACATGCCTCCTCATCAACACCTTGGACTAGCATTGGCTTTGGAGACAGGAGTACCAGCCCTGCATTTGTGGTTCTAGACAGACCTGGTTCCGGTCCTGGCTCAGCCACTTTCCAGCTGGTCACTGGACAAGGTCCTTGGCCTCTATCACTGAGGGATGCCTTGTACCTCGAAAACATTCCTCATTGTTAACTATCAAATGTTTAGTATGGTTGTGGAGGCGCTTAAGTGAGAGAAAGAATGTCAGTGTATCCAGTACAGCAATAAACATCCATCCACATGTCTTGTTGTGGGTGGGGGTGGCCTTGGGTAGATCAAATAACTAAAGAAGTGTTGGGTGTAGAAGCACCGCATAAACTTTGAGGAGCAGTACAGCTCTGTGCATTGGTTCTGTCATTCTTATAGGGTGCTACTCTCACTTCCAAGTGCCCAGTGGGTGATGGTCACTGCCCTGCTAGCCTCCATCAGGATAATAGACATGCTTCACTTACCCATGACCTGACTCAGGTGCTCTCTCCTTCCAGGTGACACAGAAGTACTCTCTGGTGATCGTGCAGGGCCACCTGGTCTCTGAAGGGCTCCTGCTGTTTGGCCATCAGCACTTCTACATCTGTGAGAACTTCACACTCTCTCCTGTGGGTGATGTCTACTGCACCCGCCACTGCTTATCCAAGTGAGTTTCTACCTCTCCCAGCAGATTCATCCCTGAGCCCCAATCTTCCTTCTCAGCTACCCCACTCCTGCTCCACCCGCCTTATTCTTGCTGTGGCCTTAGGTTTGGGCCTGAAACTGAACCATGAGATAAAGCAGAAGAACCTAAGGATAGGCATCCATAACTGCAGTCCCCCAAAGCTAAAATCTGAGTGGAAAACAGTGTGGCAGCTCCTCATGCCTCGCCGATGGGGAGAATAGCACAGGACAAAGGGGGTCTCTCCTTAGGTCATTTGTGTAATAACATCCAGTCCCATGAGCCTACTCATTCAAAAACTTGTTGGTTGGGGCCGGCCGAGTGCGCATTGGTTAAGAGCTGGCTTGGGATGTCAGTTCTGAGCAGCAGGGGCCCTGGTTCGGATCCCACATATGAGGGCCAGTGACACTGCCCTCTACAGCTAAGATGGTGAACAGCAGCTCGACCTGGATCTGGGCTGCCATGAGTCACCGGCGATGGCATAGGCTGCAGCCCCTGCTGCAGTGGCTGCCATAAAAAAAACCAAAAAACTTGTTGGTTGCTCATTCTTATATAGGACATCAGTCATCGCCCCTTTGTACCCAGCAGCATAAGCAGTTTATTTTGGGAAGAGTTTGGGGCACACCAGCATCATAGGACAAAATATATGTTAGGGGAAAAGTCTTGGGATTCACATTTGGAGAGATGGCGTGGGCCTGGTGTGGTAAGGGAGGGCTACTTTGAGGGAGTGGGCTAAGATCTGGGTCTTGAAGAATGGGTGAGATTTGGGGAGAAATTTGAAGAGCCATTTTTAAACCAACTAACACCAAAGGTCTTTGGCAGGAAATTTTGAGTTTTGCGTTGTTTTTTTTATCAAATTTATTTGGTTTATTTTGGTTTAATCAAGCTCTTATTATACTAATTAATTATCTTGTGTTTATAGAGTACAGCCATTCAAAATCAAATTGACCGTTTTCGTACTTTTGTTAAAAGTTCAGTTGTCAAGTTGTATTTTTTTCATTTGATGATTGCTTTTGAAAAATTTGGATGAAGATTTCTTCATCCAGAAATAAGTCTTGACTTTCCTGGTAAGCCAAGGCTCAAATGATGACAAGTAAACCCCTTAGTCAGTGACTCTCAGATTACCTGGACGGCTGGTTAAAACAGGCTCCCGGGGCCCACCTTTATTTAACCCCATTTCTAATTTGGCAGCTCTGGTGTAGGGCCTGAGATTTTAACAAGTTCTCTGATGATGCTGATGCTACTGGTCTGGGATCATACTTTGAGACCCACTATTTTAGACTGTTGATAGAGGAGCCACCTGCTGAGAACTCAGAATTTTAATTCCTAGTTGTCATAGTATTTCCAGCCTATGTCAAAAAGCTGGAATTTAAGGAGTGTGGAAGAAGAGATGTCAGCCACCCTCCCTTGATTTAGATTTGCTTTAAAATGCTTGGCATTTTTCTCTCTGCTAATTTCCATCTTTTATTCATACCAAACATTCACCTCTTTGCTTTTCCAAGACAGGAGAAGCATAATTAATACTTGGCATACACATGCCATCTTATTGCTCATGTTTTATTGATACTGATCAATATGGACAATGGGTCTGCAGACTTGCTTTTCTGAGAGCTGATGAAAGCTTTCTCCTCTATCTATATGCATGGCATGCTCGTGTAATGACTTGCACAATCCATTGTTTCATTCTCCACCTCTGGTTTAAATCGAGTTAGTGTTAGATAAGATCTTATTGATTAGCTAAATTGTGTTTATGAGGTGCATCTAATCATGATCAAATTGACTATATCTGCACTTTTAATAGAAGCCCAGACATCAGGTTGTATGTACTCATTTGATTTGGAATGACAAGGGAGACTTCCCATGTCTGGAAATGTACTTTTCTAGAAAGCATGTAGGAGTATAGTGAGAACAAATGATACCCTGGAATATCCTTTCGGGACCACATAGGTAATTTTAGTCACCATACCTCAAAGATGTATGTGTTAACCAGACAGTGCTTTCTCTCCTAGGTCTTGTCTACTGCTCTAAGAAACTTCTGGCACGCATGCAGATGTGGTTCTCAGAGACAGGCTATTAGATCATGTCAGATCAATGGGGATTAAGTCTTATTTTGACCATGGAGACTAAGAAAGATACATAAATAAGGCAGTTAAAAATAATGCTAAGTCAACCCTGAAATGTTTCTCCTAAAAGACTGCTATCAAATTGAGTATCACTGAGCATTAGACCTTGAAAGAGGCTCTCTGATGTACCATAAAAATATCCCAAGTAAAGCTCAAGAACACTGCACATCGTCCAGCAGAGATTGAACTTCGTGCTTTGGAACTTTCCTTAGAAACTAAGAACCTTTCTAGAAAGTTATATTTTGCGGAATAGGGTGACTCTTAGGTTACTAGGGCTGCTGTAACAAAGTACCAAAAACTAGGTGGCTTTAAAAATCAGAAATGTGTTGTCTCAGAGTCCTGGAGGCCAGAAGTCAGATATCAAGGTATCGTGACCACTCCCTCTCTAGAGCTCTCGGGGAGGATCCTTCCTTGCCTCTTCTAACCTCTGGTGTTTCCCCACAGTCCCTGGTTGGCTTGTAGATACATCACTCAGTCACATGGCCATCTTCTCTCTGTGTATCTTCACATGATCTTCCCTGTGTGTCTGACTCTGTGTCCAAGTTTCCTCTTTATATAAGAAGTCTAGTCATAGAGAATTAGGACCTATTTTAGTGACCTCATTTTAATTTTACGACTTCTGGTATTTACATATTTCTAAATTAAGTCTCGCTCTGAGGTACTGAAGGTTAGGACTTCAACATATTTCTTTTGGGGGACACAATTCAACCTATAACAGTGTCAGTTCAACTCACAATGTATAGTATTTGATTCATTTGGTGATAATCCAAATCATCCAATTAGCTCTTTGTGAAAGGGTGCTTTTATTCAGATATTTCCTCCATATCAGTAAGCATTTTAAGGCTTCATTTCTCTGTTTAGTTCAATTTGACAAATACTTATTGAAAATCTGTCTTGGCCCATTCACTGTGGTAGACTTCGTAGATACAAAGAGATAAGTTGGATGTGGGTTGAGTCTGGTAAATAGTTTATAATCTAGTGAATAATTCTGGGAATAAATTCTAGGTATGAGCCCTGACAACAATTGGATATTGGGTAGTAATAATCGGATAATGGAGTTGTCACTGTCATTCTCACCAGTGCCTTGATCTGGGATGCTGTTTGACCTAAGTGAAGAGTAGGAACTAGAATTCCTCCTTGACCTCACTGGAAGTCAGAGAAGTTTAAGGGAAGCTCAGCTCAGCCCAAAAAGGAGTAATTAATAATGAACAAAAGGCCTCCGCCAGTAGCAGGTTTGAATTAAAGCAACCAGGCAGAAGCATCCAGAACAAAAGCCCCATTTGTATTTGATCAATCCTACAGCAAGATGGCTCAGAGCAGGAGAGCTGAGAGGATTGTCCTAAGAAGGGGCAGGAGGAGCTTCCAAGGGCTGATGCCCACATCCTTGAGGTCTGGCTGTGCAGGGGGCTGAGCAGTCAGCTCAGGCTGCATCCCCCATGGGTGGCCTTCCCTTCTACCTAGCAGTGAATTCCTCATAATGCGCAGGTCCAAGCTCTTAGCACTGCAGGTGCCAGGCCACCACCCTGGCTATTGATTGAAGTCCTGCTGGCCTGAGTGAGGGCCTGATCTTTTTCTCAGAAGCATGGTGAGGAGGCCCCATGCATGGCCTGCCCTGCCTGCTGGCCAGAGAAGGTTGCACTTGGAGTAGGGATGGGGAGGAGGTGAAACAGCCTTCTCACCCATTCCGCCACTTTGCACTGGTGTGGGGCTCTTTCAGCTCTTGGTTCTTTGGATCCATGATGGGCACACAAGACTTCTTGGAGACTGAGGTGCTCGGGAGGCCCTGTATCTCTCAGGTCCTAAAAGGGTATGTTATCAGAATATCTGTGATCATGTACACAGTCTAAATATACCACATAACTCAGATGTTCAGAAATGTATCTGTCCAGCACTGAAATCATGTTTATTTCTCAAATCCCCTTTGTACTGGTGGTGAAAATTTTATCTGGTTACCTAAAGGCATTTCAGTTACATCCAGTACAGAAATTGTTCTGTTTGGTATAAATACTTATCAAATTCATGATTCTTGCTTTTCCTCCTCTCCCGTTCCTCCTAAGGGGAGTCATTCTGACCTATGGGAGAGGCATCTGGCCAGGCCTCAGCCACCATGTTGCTGGTTCCTGGCTCTGGGCATATGCTATAGGGGCCACGACTGAGGCTGTGGTCACTGTTTCTCAGCCCATCGGCATCTCAGCCCTGCTGCACACCCCCTTTAGTGGTTCAGGGATTCTCTGCCACTTTCTCCCGTGCTATACTAGATGCCACTCCAATGTGGTGGGTTCTCCCCCAGGCCCCTGAGGCCATGCTGAACAACAGGCTTTCTTAATGCGTCTCATCATCTTTCTGCACTATGTCCCAGGGACCAAAATTTCTCCAAACATGACTAGGGTATCTCTTTCACTCTTCCCCCACTTTCTCCCTCATTTTTGATCACTCTACCCAGAGAGACTTCTCACATGCATGCACCACACCGTATGGCACTGTCTATCCTGGAGGCTGTCCCCTTGCCTTGCTGTCCCTCACCTTGTGAGCCTGATGCCCCATCCTACTCCCCAGGGCAGGGTTGATGAGGACAGGTGCTCAGGGTTTACCAGGTCAGTGGGTGCTGGCACCCTGGTCAGCAGTGACCGTAGGACCCAGAACCCCAGAAATTCAGACAGGGCTGTGGGACAGGAAGGGAGACAAGTCTACCAGACACCCTCTCACTGCACATCTTACTTCCTTTTCAGCATCAGCGACCCATTCATTTTCAACCTGTGCAGCAAAGACAGGTCCTGCGACCATTACTCGTGCCAGCGCCACAGCTATGGTGACCTCAGGGAGCTCCATCAGGCACGCTTCCTCCTGCAGGTATGCCTAAGAGTAGGGCCATCTCTTCATGGGACAGGTGGTCTGGATGCCATAAACACCGCGTCTAAATGTGAGGGTCACACCTCCGTGACCCCCTTCGTGCCTGTGCATTGCCCTTTGAGACACACCTGTGTATTCCCCTGGCTTGTGTTGGGCCTGGTCCCTTGGTTCTAGGTTCTTACTTCTTCACTCCCTCCCCAGTCCCTGCCTTTCTCTCTCTTATTGTGTCATTTAGGATCCAGCCTCTTCAGGTTATTTTTCCCTTGACATGTCCCAGAGCTGCTTTGGGTATTCAGAGATGCAGGACAGGGCAGCTCCATTGCCTCAGGTCAGAGCTGATGATAGTTGAGTGCCAGTCTGCCCTCATCTGACCCCATGGACCCCCCTTAGCTGGCCGCAGTCCCTCCCATCTGCCCTCCCACAGCCTCACCTATCTCTCAGCTCTTGGTAATTTCCTGGGACAAGTGGTTTAGAGATCTCCTGATTGTCCCCTCCAACTAGGGTGCCATAGCCTCATCCAGGGCCTTCAAAGGCTCACCCAGGTGGTAAATAGAGCTGATTCCTTTCAGAGGCAGAGCTCTACTATCAGCTAGTCACAACCTATGAACTTCTGGCCTCTGACCAGCTCTCTCCCTCTCTCCACCCTCCACTCCTCTGTTTTTGCCTACAAAGGGTTGCTTCTCATTTTGCCTGACTTCACTGCGCTTCTTTACAAGGAGATGAGTTAGAAGGGGACGAGGTGAAAGGTGCTGCCCTGAAGGTTCCAGGCAGTGCAGCTAGCATGGGCCTAGTCTCAAACACGGCTCTGCCACCTTGGCACAACTGGGCACATCTCCCTCCAGTAAACAGGGGACCGTACCTTGTCTTTTCTGTCATTACATATATAGCATTTAGCACATGTTTTGGCATGTATTAACAATAATTTTTAAATCACTGTATATCTACCTTACAGCTTTTATATAGTAGCAAATAGGTATCAGTAAATGAGCTTCTTTCCCCCCAGTAAATGGTGATTGTTTCCAGATGGCTGGCTAGCCTGAGAGTGGTGGAAGCCAGAAGTCTGAGTGGGCATGGTGTGCACAGCCAGGTAGGGCGTAAGAGCTCTGTGAGCAAGGCCACCATTTGTCCAGCCCTGGGTTCTCCCAGGAGAAAGTCTGAGCCTGGGTACTTCAGGTTGCTGGGGCAAGACATAGCCTCACTAGATTGTATAGTCATCATCTACTGGCACATTATTTATATTTCTATTTATAGAAAAAAAGCCAAGGCTCTCATGTGCATCTGTAGAGGAGAGGGGGTTTGTATTATCATTATAAATGCTTTCCCTCTGCTCAGGAGCCCAGTGAACTTTGAGAACTCACTTCCAGCCAGGTAGAAGCAGGACCTGACTCTGTTGTTGGATGCAGCACCTCATCTCTGAGTCTGACTCTGACCCACCACATTTGTCCCTCCATGCCCAGGCATCATCCCTCCTAGCCCCCTCCCTCCAGTCCTGGGAATTGTCTCCCTGACCCCATCTCATCCCAGATGTGGACTCACTCTGGCCTATTCCAAACCTATTATTTATATAGTGTAGATTAGAAGGAAGGGAGAGGGGGAGGGCAAGGGGGAAGGAAAAAGAAAGGAAATCATGTGGACGTCATTTAGGCATTAAGAAAATACCCTTGAAACAACTCTGTTGTGTCAGCATGGCCACATCACGTGGCTCAGCAAAATGGGCTTAGCAAAGCACCCTGTGCCTACATATCTGTAGATTGGCATACAGTGCTGTCCTGATGAGGAGTGACATCCACCCAAGCAGCTCTCCTAGTGTTTCTGGTTAGATGACCCTTTGGTTCAGGAAACCAAACCCTGGGCCTGGAAGTGAAAGTGTCTGAAGGTTTCAAAGGTCACTTTCCTCCCTTTCCCAGCAACTTGCTTGTCCTGGGAATGGGGCTCTTGCTTCCTGCTTCATCCAAAGGAACTCTGAGGTCTGTTGCCCTCCTACCCATTCTGCAGAGACCCTGCTCATCACTGTCACCAAGGTCTTCGTATCCTCCTGTGGAAGGTCAGAAAGACTAACCAGAAAGGGTTGCCTGTGTTGACCTAATTTAAGAGATAAACTGAGGCAAGCTTGAATTAGCAGGAGTTGAGTTTATTCAGGAATAGCAGAGGAATTACAATTTGGGAAACGCTTGCTGTAGCAAACTACAGGCGAGTCCCTTGAAGGTTTGGGGCAGCTGTCTTCATGGGCAAGGAGCACAGAGAGGGAAATCCAGCCAGAGTCCAAGCAGTGAGTTCATTGGCTTGAGGGTAGGGAGGGATTCATGGCTGATGTTTATTGGTCAGGAGGTAAGTCTCCATCTTCTGTAAATCAGGCATTTACAGTAAACGAGCCTCTTGGTTCCTAAGTCCTGTTCTTCTGAAGAGGCACATGAGTGAGATTCTGCATTTTATATCCTCTGGTCCCATTTTAGATTGAAATCCTTTTACACCTGACACGAGACCCAAATGACCTACTGCCAGTGGCTCTGTTGCTGGGGGTGTTTCTGTTCCAAGAAACTTCAGGAGCAGTAAAAGTGTTTCTCTTTATAGGACATCGCCCTGGAGATCTTTTTCCGAAATGGAGATTCCAAGTTTCTTGTCTTCCACAATAGTGATCGGAGTAAGGCCTTCAAAAGGTAAGGGTTTGAAAACCCTCTTCTAAGGGAAACTGATGATGAGCTGAGAGCAGCTCTGTGCTCAGGAAACTTGTTCTCAACCCACAGTGAGCAGGATTTAAGTTAGACATAAGGAAGAACTTACTGACCCACAGAGCTGTTGAATTATGGAACAAACTATAAAGAAAGCTATAGAAGCACGTTTTCTAAATCCTGGGAAACAGGCTCCATCCCATGGACTGAAGTAGTTTAAGACAGTAATGACTTAAGGAAGAAAAAACTGTGCAGACACAACATATTTAAGAAACTGGCTGTTTAATGGGCCTTCCAGAATTTTCTGGCTTTGATTTTCTAATTTTCCAAGTAATTTTTTTTGGCTTCAGCTTTCTTTTAGAGCCCAGTTGCCCATTTTAGTTGTTCTAATTTTATATTTTATTGGAAAGAATCCCAAACACTGATTTTCACTTCTGCATGGAACATCTTTTTTCTTACAGAGAGAAGCCTGCTGTTTTAGTTTAACTTCTTTTTCTCCAAATATTAATCAATCTAAAAAAAGTTAAGCTAAAAATATTAATAGCAATGGTTATTTATTTTCATTGCAATTAAAGTTATAAATAAATAGAGATTTGCAGAGAATCTAGAAGGGACAGGAGACAAGGTAGGTTGATAGCCATAAACAGACCACACAGAATTTGGACCTGCAGAAGGGTGGTGATGCCCGCTTTCACTTTGGGCTGGAAGTTCTGAGGTGAGATTTGACATCCCTGACCTGAATGTCCCCGGCTACTCTGTGCTCAGAGGTTCTAGCCTTGCCTTCCTGTTGGTCCTGAGCAGTCACTGGCATGAGGACCAGCTCTAGGTCCAAAGGGCAGGGCCAGAGTGGATAAAAACAACTCCCGCAGAGAGGCTGTTAGTGCCCGCTCTGGGCATGCCTCCATTGACTGTGAGTGCCCCTTTGAGGTTCTTCTGAGGACTGCTGTTGTATCACCTCCTAAAATTGTCTTCTGGTCCCATTTTAGACCAAAGTAAAGAAGTAGACGAGCAATGCTGAACCTCCTATTCATGTTCCCTTATGATTTCTGGGTATTAAAGTTTTTCATGGTTAATCTAGAAGCCTTCTACATCTGGAGCTCAGGCAGTGAACGTTGCCTAACTGTGCCCTCCCCTGCTCAAGGGGCCTACAATTAAGATGGCATTTGTTCCCAGAGTACAACAGTGGTTTGTGAAACTGGCAATGGAAATGTCCAGTCCTGGCCCAGAGGAGGTATCTAAACCATGTAGTTTTTATTGTAACTATTGTTTTATTGTTATGATTGTTGTTATCAAGGCTAGAGTGTGCAATGCCAGGAGGTGCTGAGGGGTGCCTCAGAGATACACGGAGGTCTGGTGTTTAAGAACTGGGGGCAGGATGGGGCTGGAGGGGCAAGAATGGACCCAGCCTCCTAGCTGGCTCTGCAAACGTGTTCCTTGTGGTAGAAGAGTCTTGCCTGTGCTGATAGAATGATCCTTTCCTTTTTTGTTTAGCTTCTGCTCTTTCCAACCCAGCTTGAAGGGGAAAACTGTATCGGAGGACCCCCTCAATCTAAGGTAACGGTATGGGGAGGAGTCCAGCCATGCTCTCTGGGCATGGTGCTGCCTCACTTTGATTGTCTTCATTTGCTTGATCCTACTGTAAAGTTGTCATGCAAAGAACATGCCAGTTTGCCTTCCCCTTTATTGATCTCTCTCCCATCCCATGCTCCCTCATCCTGCTCCTGGAGTTCCTTCTTCCAATTATACCTCTACAAACAGACTGGAAGTTCCACATGCTCTGTGGCTTTTCAGACCAAAATGGCAGGAAGCAGTCCTCTACCTGTAGTGGGGTGGGGGCAGGTTGCCAAGGAAGTTTCAACCGAGGCCCAGCATTGGCGTTGGGTCCTCAGGTGGGGCTGTGAAAAATCCCACATCTGCCTTTCCTATACAAGACTTTTGGAAAGCTCAGAAGCTAAATTAATGTATGGTGATGGGAGAATCAGATTTAATTTATGAATTTAAGATATGGAGTGTCTTTCCCAGGGAATGAAATGCTCACAGCCCCTTCCCAAGGTTCCCCTTTACAAGTACCCAGTTCTCCAGAAGGCCAATTCAGGATCAGTAGGTGCTTTAGTTTCTATTAGAAATGAGAGTAGAAGAAGGTAGTTGCTGGTTTTCTCCAGGAGTGTGTGGGGGTATAGGGTGGGCAGAGTTGATGAAAAATATCCAGCCTACGAGAAAATTTATAAGAGTTTATTACTGACAAGAATTCCTGGGAAGCAAAATCTCAATGGATTGAGACAATGCTCTAGAAAATTGCCATTTTGCAACTTGTGTTATACATTAGAATCAAAGGAGAAAGGTTATATGATATCCATTGGTTTTAGATTAAGGGGGTGGGAGAAAGCAAAGCAGGGAAATCTCTGGGACTGGATAAAAAGTAAAATGGAGAGAAACACTTCTTTTACATTGGTGGGTACAGCATAATTAATAGCATTTTACAGCACATAGAGATAGTATTTGGGGAACAAGATAACAATGAGGGACTTTGTAGATTCCTGCTCTGGTGTGGAGGGTTGTAACCCCCCCCCAACCCCCCAGGGGGGTCTGGAGAAAGAGATTACTCTGATATTGCAAGGGCATGTTATCTTAGATGCAAAAAGAAGACAGACAGCCTTAAGGTAAAGATTGACCTTTGTCAAGGAAGCTACAGGCCAAGGATGTGACTTCCAGCCATGGCCCACCTTTGTTAGGAATTTTTATGTTCACACCAAGCTCTGTGGTTATTTTCAGTCTCCTGAGCTTGTCAGGTTTAACATGTGGCCCCTTTTCCATTCACAGCATGAAGGATGTCACCAGGAGTGGAATTCAAAATATTTGTATTGATTATGTAATGGGGACCACCAAGTCATTCAAAATTATTATCAGTAGTTTATATGTTGTGTTTGCTGCTTGACAGAGCAACAAGCAAAATACCAAAATCTTTCCTATCTTTATGAGTTTAAATTTTCATGAGGAAAATAGGAAACAATTTAAATGAGTGACATACAAAGCATATTAGATAATAAGTACAAAAAGTGAAGTAAATAGAGGTGGGGATTGATCTTAGACGGGTGGTAAGGGAAGCCCTCACCAAGACTCTTGAATTAAGATTTGACCAAAGTGAGGAAACAAGTTGTATAGGTAACTGGGAAAGAGCGTTTCAGGCCAAGGGAAGAGCAGAGCAAATGACCCAGGGGTAGTGTGGTGGTCTGGGCTGGGGCCAGAGTGGTTGTGGGCAGGGAGTCAGTGGGAGGAGATAATGGAGCTAGTCCATACAAGCCTTGGGGGCTAACATAATGACATTGGGGTTTCCTCTGAATAATGGGGTGTATTGGAGGAATGGTGTGACTAACATATTTTAAAAGACTTACCTGGCTGCTGTGTAGAGAACTGACTGCAGTGGGACAAAGGCAGAGCTGTGAGGCTGGTTAGGAGGCTTTGCAATGACCCAGGTGAGAGAAGACGGCTTGGAACCAGGGGGTGGCTGAAAAGACCCTGTGATCTGCTCAGGTTAGGGACATATTTTGAAGGTACATCTGATGGGATTTGTTGACAAATCAAGTGTGGAATATGTGTGTGTGAGAGAAAGGACTTAAGGATAAGACAAGCATTTAGGTTTCAGCAATTGGAAAATGAAATGGAGAAGAGCACAGGAAAAACTGCTTTGGGGGTGTGGTGATGTCAGGAGCTTCGTTTTCGACATGGTAACTTGGAGGTGCCTGCCAGACATCCAGGTGATATCATGTCAGCCATTGGTTATATGAATCCGGAGCTCATGGAGAGGTCCAGGTGAGAGGTAAATTTGGAATCGTATTTAAAGCATGAAACTGGATAAGATCACCACGAGAATAAAGGAACATGAACAGCAGGTTTTAGGATTGTGCCCTGGGGCATACCAACCTTTAGGAGTTAAGATCCTGGGGAGGAGCCAGCAGAAGAGACTGAGAAGTTGCATCCAGAAAGGCAGGAGGCACTGCCCGTGTAGAAGGTGTCCTCCGGGACAGGTAGTGTTTCAAGGAATGAGGGGTCAACTGTGTTGATGGTCGTGTTGTTGGTAAGCCAAGTAAGATAAGAACTGAACAATGACCATTGAACATTGTTTGCAACATGGGGCTCACTGATGACCTTCAAAAGAGTGACTGTCAGCAGAAGCTCCCTGTTGTGCCAGGCAGTAACCCTTTAGTTGGCAGATTGTGGAGAAGTCCAGGACATACCTGGTGATGGTCTTAGGGGGCCTGGGCAGCAGGGGGCCACCAGAAGTGGAGTAGCTGTTTACTAACTGGAATGGGTATATTTTAATAGTTGTAACAATGGTACAACTATAATTGTGCATATAAGTTTAATATTAGCCCTGGTGATCTCATATTGTTTATGTTTCATATAAGCCTTAATCTCCACACTTGGATTTCTCTGCAACATTTCAGTGCAAGTGGTAGGAAGCCATTTCAAACTCACTGAAGCTAAAAAGAAGATTCATCACCTCGCATACCTGAAGGCCAAAAAAGGTCTGGCTCCAGGCATGCTGAACCTGTGGGCTCAGTGAGTCCTCAGAACACTGGCTCTCCATCTCATATGAAGATTTCCCATGGGTTGGCTTGGTTCTCAGCAGGCTCTCTCAGCATAAGGGTATCCACACCCCCAATATCTCCAGGCTGATAACCAATCACATAGGAATTCCACAACACAAGGAATGCCCTGTCCCAGTAATTTTAGCAAAAATCCCCAAAGTGATTTTCATTTGCCCAAGTTTGATTAGAGCCCAGAACAAATCAAGTGCTTTCATAGGCCAAGTTGGGGTCATGTGCCCATCCACCTCTGAGAGTGGGGTCAGTCTCACCCAATAACATAGACCACATTGAGGGGAGGGAGGTTCCCCAAGAGAATTAAGGTTCTGTTATCAAAAGAAGGGTTGCATACTGAGGTGTCGGCAAAAGCAGATGGCCAGGCTCTGCTCCCGGCAGAGCTCCCCAGGCACCACAGCATTCATGAGCTGTGTGTCCATTTTCTCTCCCTGAAACTCCTTTCTCCTTGCATCAACGTAGAGCACAAGTCACTTCACTGAACCCCATTTTCCTCTGCAGATCACCCTCTTATAAATGTATTATATGTGTAATATCACTCAGTGGTCATGTATCAGTCCCCACAGCTCTGAATGCAGAAATGGCTGAGGGGCTTCCACTCCTCATCACCTTTAAATCCCAGCCCTGGTGCAAGGGGGGGGGGCGGCGGCCTTGTAGAGACTATACAACTCAGACCCAGGGTCCGCAGCAGAAGCATGGCACCAGAGGTGAACTAAATGACCTGGTGGGATGACTGATGCCCCAGGATGCAGGAGCTTTCACATGCCTGGCTCGAGCGACTACAGGTCGGGGGGCCTGTGACCTACAGTGAGCTCCTCCAGGGTTGTGCTCAGACCTTGGTTTTGGGGCCTACCTGTGTTACTCTGCCATTGTTGCTCCTGTATTCTCTGAGCTTTATCCTTAGCTGTGGCCATTTCTAGGCAGAAGCCTAAATTAAGCCCCACTCAGCACCAAGCTTGGCCCTTTGTCCTTTCAGCTCCACTCAGTCACATTGCTGCCATTGGATAGGGACAGAGGAGCAAAACCCCAGAACCGTGAAGGGAGAAATTTGCTGGTTCAAGATCCCCCCACCCACTTGCTATGTGTGCCCAGCCACCTACAGAAAACCTGGGATATGAACAGAGGAGGCAGGCATTTTCTTTTATTTTAGAAACTTGGTCAGGAATCTTCTAAGAGGCCATCCACAATGGATAATTTAGATTAGTCTGGTGAACTGAGGTAAAGTTGCTATTTCTCCTGAAATGCCTTCACTCTTCGTGACGGTTGAGGAGCTTAAAGCTTGCCATGATTACTCATAAATTAGCCCTTGCCACATGGACAAGGGTCTGTTAATTGCTGCATCTCGGTTGTAAGATTGTTTCTAATTTTTTTATTTTTATTTTAAAATAAATGCATATTCACAGGAACTTGCAAAAATAATACATAGATTTCCCATGCAGCCTTCCTTTAATATCCCCCAGTGATTGCATCTTATGTGACTATAGTACAATTTAAAAACTGGGAGACTGACACTGGTACAGTATGTGTAGTTTTCTGTCATTGTATCACGTGTGTAGGTTTGTGTAACCACCACCAACAGCAATACACATGATTATTTTTATCACCGCACAGATATCTCTGGTGCTTCCACTTTGGGGTCATGTCCACCCTCTACCACCCTCATTTGCCTTAAAGCCTGGCAACCACTGATTTATTTGTCATTTCTGTCATTTTGTCATTTAGAGAATGTTCTCTAAATCATAGAGTATGTGGCTTTTGGAGATTGGCCTTTTTATTCAGAATAATGTCATTGAGATCCATCCTGGTTGTTGCATGTTTCAATAGTATGTTCCATTTTACTGCTGAGCAGTATTCCATGCAATGAATATATTACAGTTTGCGTAATCATTTGCCTGTTCAGGAAAATTTGGTTGTTTCTAGTTTGGAGCCACAATCTACAAATAGTCTACAAATAAAGACTATTCACATTTACCATGTTTCCCTGAAAATAAGACCTAGCCAGAGAATAAGCCCTAACATGATTCCTCCAGGATCTGGAGGGCATGCACCCCTCACATGAGGGTTTTATGACCTGTTTCAGGGAGAAGGGTACCTTTTCCACAAACTCCTTCAGCTTAAAATATTCAGTATGCCAAGGTGCCATATTTTGGCACCTAAAATCATGCTAAGGCTTATTTTCTGTCTAGGTCTTATTTTTGGGGAAACAGGGTAATATAATTATTAAAATGTTAGGACAGCAGTCTGGCATTTTGTTTTTTCCTATCTGTCCTTGTTGTTCATTCCTCTATTTTCATTTTCCTTCCTACTTGTGAATTACTGAAAGATTTGTTAAAATTCTAATTTGATTTATCTATAGTACTTTTAAGTACATTTCTCTGTATGAATTTTTTGTATAAATTTTAGTTGCTTGAGGTATTGTATTATATATACACAACTTATCACAGGCTTACATTATATATACATAACTTATTTAAGCTTGCCACAATTATTCATAAACTAGCACTTCACACATGGACAAGGATCTGTTTATTGCTGCATCTAGGTTGTAAGAGTGTTCTAATTTTTTTTAAATTTTAATATAATTACAGATTCACAGGAATTTGCAAAAAATAATACATAGAGTCCCCATGCAGCCTTCATTTAATGTCCCCCAATGATTGCATCTTATGTGGAGATTTTACCAGTTTGAGTGACCATAAGACTTTTATGTCTTAAAGTCCTCTTTTAAATCTTTCATTGTAATTTACATCTATTATTTTCCTAAGTATTTTTCTATATACGTTAAAAAAACACACCAAATATTTTCCAAAATTATTTTCACACATAAAAGATCTAAAGCAAAGAGAGACAAAGTGAATTTAAGAAGCAAGTCGGTCGCTTGGTCAGCACTGGAGAGCCTGGCTTCCAGAATGTTATGCTTGCCACTCTTTCTTCTAACTGAGGACTTTCTTCTTCAGACTTGTTTATTCTTGTTAGCTCATTAGTCTTCAAGTTTTTGCCATAAGCTACTCTAGGGAGATGTTGAGCGTATCCTGGGGATGGAAACACAAGAAGCTGAGGCAATTACTCCAAGTCACAGAGGCCAAACACAGCAGGGGCAGAGGTCACACAGTGGTCACCTAGGTTATACCAGGCTCTCAGAGAGGGTGGTGACTGGGTTAGTAGAATAGGGTTTTCATTCTATTTGAGGAAAGAGAAACCCTGAGGTTTTCCTATCAAGTGTTTTTAGGTTTAATACAACTTCCAGGAAGTAAGGATGACTGTGGTGCTTTAGAGTATGAAGGAGCATCAACATCATACCCTTCCCGGGACAGAAAAAGGAATAAAATGTAGATGATGTCTCCTAACTGACTTCTATCTCCAGTCTCTGCTTCATCCTACCTCCGGGTTTCCTGGCTAACAAGGTGTCTAACATAAATGTATCCTGTGTCAAATCAAAGCTGCCTGCCCATTAATTCTCAGTCCTGGTAAAGTTCAATGCACTTAAAACCCCTTCCTAAGACATGACTAGAAGAATGAGAGCATAATAAAGCACTTCGATCAAGGCTGGCAAGTAAATGATGAGCATGCCAACCACTCAGTTGGCAGCAGATCCAGGAGAGGCATCTGGAGGAGGGTTTTGAGGACAAGTCAGTGGGGGGAACTGGGCTGTGATGGGACTGAAGAGGGTAGAGGGGTAAATACATGGTCCAGTTCTTTCTAGGGGTGCAGGGAGATCTCTTTTCTTAATTCCTGTTCTTTGCTGATCTCTTTGAGTGATTAGGAAGGGAACACTAATTCTAAAGGAACTGTTTCAAGGGGGAGAAATGGAAATGGGCAGTATCCAAACAACTAGCCACCACTCTCTGGAGCCTGTGTCCCTGCATGGATTCTGTACTTGTTGGGTCAGAATGAAGTAATTTAAATAGCAAAAAGGCTGCCTTAAGGACATGTTCAAGGCCAAATATACTAATGGTGGCTCCGGGCATGACATTTCATCATGCACTTCATAGACATAGCTGCTCCATTCATCTTTGGAGCATTTTGAACATTAAATGAAGGGAAAAATGTAAAGGATAATACTCAGTGCTGGCAAGGGTGCTGTGAAACAGTTTCTCTAATATATTACTAGTAGATATGTAAATGTGTATAAAATTTATATAAACTATCTGATAACATGTATCAAAAATTATTTTTAAAAAACACACCCTTTAACCCAATATTTGCAATAATGCAGCTATACCAAGGAAATAATGCAGCATATTTAGAAAATCTTAATCATACAAGCTTTCATCACAAAACTGTTTCTGTTAGTGAAAAAATGGAAACAAATGCCCAACAGTAGCTTATAGTTGTGCATATCCATGTTTAACTACCTTGCAGATGTGTTAAATTATAGTTATTAAGACAATGTAACAACGTGGGTTTTGAAGCAACGGAAAGATGATGTGAATGCTATAATTTTAACTATGTATAAAAATATACACAGAAAAATAACTGGTGAGGAAATCTGTCAATATTATAGCTGGCTTACACTGTAGAATTGTGGGTACTTTATGCTGTTACATTTAAAACGATGGTGTGGTTTTGTTACTTTTCTAATGGGAAACATTTAATAAAGGGAAAACTGAAAAGGGAATTTTTAATCTATATCTTAGAGATACGATAATTTGTCACAGCTAAAAATCACAAAGGGAAATAAGCAGTGAGGAGTGAAGCAATGAAGAACGCTGTCCACTATGGTTTATAATGTGAAAAGGAGCGGTCTCTAGCGCAGGAGGCAGCAGGTCAGTCTTATAATGTGGAAAGGAAATAAGTTGGTCCCGCTGAACTCATGGATTTCTCTGTTTTTCTTCCATTGACTACTACAAAACTTTCCAACACAGAAAAATCTTGACTTAAAAAAAAAATTTAAGCTTTCCTAAAGATATCTCCCTTAATGCTTTCCTTTTAGGCAGTATGAAGATGTGAGTGAGTGGTACAGAGAAGGTTCTCTGCTATAGTGAGGACTGCCTCTGCCACTATTATTTCTGCCAGAAGATCTAGTATGAAGAGGGTCACTGTCCAAAGTCATGTTTCAGCTTTGAGATGCACCAAGTGCCAGTTCTAAGAGAGAACTGACTTCCATTGAGCACTTACTCTGTGTGCTATCTTCTGCTTTAGGTACACAATGACCCTTGGAGTTGGGGGGCTGTATTATTCCCAGTTTACAGATGAGGGAACCAAAGCTAAGTAAGACGCCAGGGAGACGGCAAGCAAGGAGAGCTGCCAGGAACCTGGATCTGGCCAACTGCAGAGTCTTTGACTGTCTCTCTGACAGGTCAGCCCTGCACACCACATGGCCCTGATCTCCTAATGCCTGCAGACAATGACGTTCTGCCCAGTCTTCCTCCAATGGGTCTTCCCTACAGGCTGACCAGGGCAAGCCAAGCTTTCCCCCATTGGACACAGTCCCCACACCTAGCACAGCGACTCGGAGGGTATTTATTCATTAACTGTATTTATTCATTTGACTGTACCGACTCACACCTGCACCCATCCCTTCATTACTCCCACAAGAGTTTGGAAAGGCACTGGATAAAATATGATGGGAGTGCAAACTCATTCATTCACAGCCAGTCAAGGGCTTGCAGGTTGAGTCTAAAGAGAGATCCTAGAGCAATGTGGAAGCACAGATAAAAAAAGTATATAGCACTGCTATGAGCCCAAGATGTTACTGCCAATACTCAGTAATATCTGCCTATCTCTGTGGCCCAGTTTTGTCCCCTTTTCAAGACTGAATGTTCTTTTGCCCTCCTACCAACCCATGCTCTGAGATTCCGGACCTTTGAAGCTCTGACCCAAAGCATTTCCACAGAACAAGTTCCATGTTTAGGAGCTGGAAGTTCGTCCTGAAATGCATGAAAGTGAGACTAAGGGTGTGCTGACAATGTTAGTGCCTGGGCCATGGGCTGTAAGCTGGAACAGAAGTGAGCTGGGTGGTATTTTCCTGACTCACTATGCCTGTATGTGTGAGTATGTGCATGCAGAGAAGAGAGAAGTGTGTGGAATGGCAAAGAACTAAAAGACCTTCAGTCAATAAAGCCACAAGCCAAGAAGGTAGGGAAAGGTATTTTATGAGCTTGGCTGGAAAAACTATTGCAGCAATGGGATAGTCTCTCAGGTGTCTGTGGATGCAGCCCATCGCCACCTTCCCTCCCTCCCTTTGCCCTCTCCACCTCAGAATCAGGGTCCCAGGTCACCTCCAATCTTCCTGGGACTCCTTGGCCATTGAGTTGGGTGAGACGAAGCTGGAAAAGATGGGCTTTCTTGGTGTCATCATGGGCACAGTCTTGATCCTGTTCAGCTTGTCGCGGGCCTGTTGGCATTTTTTCAGGCAAGATGCACACAGATCCTTTGCCTCCACTAGGTATAAGTTCTCCAGCCTCTTGATGGAATCCACAAACACATCTGGCCCCTCTCCCTTGGGAAAGGGGTTTCGCTTTGTGTTGAGCTTTTTCAGCTTGGGGAGTTTGGAGATGCTGTTGGGGATGGTGTTGAGCAGGTTGTCATGGAGCCCCACCTCATGCAGCTCCTTCAGAGCACCGAGCGTGGTGGGCACACTCTCCAGGTGGTTCAAGCCTAAGTTCACAGTGCGGATGTTCTTGAGCTGGTTGAGCTCCACAGGCAGCCCGCTGGTGGTCAGCCTGTTGTTGCTGACATTGAGGTAAAGCAGAGTGGTCATCTGGCCGATGGACTCGGGGAGCTTGTCGATGTAGTTGCTGTGCAGGTCCAGCCACCGCAGGTTCTGAAACCTGGAGATAGAATCAGGGATCTTCCTGATCATATTCCGGCTAAGGTCGAGCTCATCTACATCATTGAGTCTGAGAATACACTTGGGGAAGGTGGTAATTCCCATCTTGCTCAAATCAAGGCGTCTTCTGCCATCGAATGTGACTTTGATACAATTCTTGGCTACACTGAGGGTGATCTTCTTGCCCTTGGGACCCTTCCCACCCTTGACCATGTTCTTTAGTGAGGCAGTATGTTTGAAGTCTGTTGTTCTGACTGTTGGTGATCACTTTGAGGAAAACATCACATGAAACTGCTAAAAGGTAGATTCTGATGAGAAGAGAAAAAATATCAAGTTAGGAGATGACATGAGGGTCCTGGACTACCCCCAAATCATTATGCTTAGTTCTGTAATGGTTTAAAAGGAAATCAGAGAGTGGAGACACTAAGGCATCAGCAGAAGTAACCTAGCCAAGACCTTCAGCACATTAAATGCCGTCTTCAGACCTCAGTGTTCCCAGGTGTAAATGGGAGGTGCTGGGTTGGCCTGAAGGGTGCTCCGGGTGCCCCTCTTGGTGCCATCCCCTGACTTATGAATCTCTCCATTGTCCTGGGCTTTCACATATACCCACCTCCCCCTGCCCAGGAGTGTGCATGTGTGTGTGCGTGCATGCGTGTGTGTGTGTGTGTGTGTGAGAGAGAGAGAGAGAGAGA